AAGCCGTTCTCAAGTTATATGATCACACCAAAAACGTTCACTTATTTTTATATTTTTATTAGTATGGGTGGTGCCACGCCCCCTTTTCCGAATTCGAGCAAACTTCGCATAAACCATCTGCATGATAGATCGAATATGCCACATAAATTTGGTTGAATTCGGTGAAGCCGTTCTCAAGTTATGAGGTCACACCAAAAACGTGCACTTATTTCTATATATAAGATAGGATTTTCTGAGTTCTTTATATGTTTTGAGTACATTGATATGGCTTTTTAGGAAGAAAATTAGTTATTCTTACAATTTTTGAGAACTATCTATTTGTTCAATATTTACGATATTGGTTTCGATATTAAAAAGTAGTATTTATTAACAATAATTCAAATTTACAATATTTCAAGAAAATTATGAAAGTATGGTTGAATGCATATGCATGTATGCATGAACGAATATAATACAAGAGACTTTAATGTTTGAAGGTGACTTTAATTAACAATAATATGTATGTAGAAACTGAGAATGTTAATACGCGGAAAGTATGAATGATTTTAAATAACAACTTGAGTGCAAGAATTAATATTTAACAATATGAGAAGATTCGCGAAGCGAATGATGTTATGAAAATGAAATATAATTTAAACGTACAAATACGCAAACTACTAAAAAGATAATGCGAACGATTTGATCGATGAATAGAGGTCCTGGTAAGCGGAAATCCCTCGGTGGATGAAAATGATGTGTTGCTATCCTGCTGGACGTCAGTGGAAAAAATAAGAGGNCACCTAACGATTGAATTTCTTTTCGTTAAAAACCAAAATAGAATTATTTTTATAATTACCTAATAAAGAACTGCAAAATTCAACATTTTCTGTAAAAATGTCTTTTTCAAAAATTGCATGCATTGCTATGTCATGTCCACTCAAACAAGGTGTTATGCCAGGTCATTCCATCTCAAACATACTGTTTTAGCATGTCGTTGCTACTTAGCTAAGCTGTTGTTCGCTGTTGTGCTTCTGTAGCATATTTTTAATACTGTTCGATCCTGCCTTGGATGAAAATATATACACGGTTTTAATTAGACAATTCTTTAATGCATTTTACTATAATAGGTGCTTAAAAAAATTTACAAAATCTCTTCCCGTATATAAAATCTAATTAATAATGCTGACTAAGTCGCATGTGTCGCATATGTTGCTTGTGCTGACATGCATTGATTTGATGAATTATTTGATTTTAATTATTCGACAGTGTCTTCATATGTTATTGTGAAACATGTATGAGCGACATAATATGAACTGGCACTTGCATGATATGACACAAGTTGCTATGTTTTATAGTTCAACATTTGCAGGCCTTTATTACCTAAACGATAAAAAACTGAATCGTTTCAACAGAAACGATTACTTGTTTTTGGTAAACGCTAAAATTAAAGTTACAATGCATCCTTGGAAAATAATTTTATTTGCAGATTTTACTTGTTTATGGCGCATATTTCTGACTTTTGAGTACATATTATATGCGCATATTTTCGATTTTTTAGTGCATGAGATTCCGACCCCTACCTATTAGTATTTGAAAATCTAATATTTGTTGGTTCCAAATGATATTAAATTGATTTGCATTTTGATGGAAAGACCAGAATTTTTTTGCATTCATTTCTTATAGCATTTTCTGCTAAATTCAAGTCAAACTCATCTCCACTTTCCCTGCTGGAATCAAGTTCGTTTCCGGAAAATTCATATTCTGGTTCTGGAAAAATAGCATCACAGCCACATCTTCTTGAATTAGAATTTACTTCGCTGCTCATTTTTTTTTTAAGTTAAGAGGTGGCAATTTTTAAAAAGATAACACACTCGAACTGTGAGCAACCCTTCACTCATGTGTTTCAAATTGTCAATAAAACAAATATAGTCAGATATATATTTAAAAATCTTTCAAATTGC